CAAATTCGGGGCCTTGTGCTTGTTAGGCAAGCGCTCTACCACTGAGCTAACTCCCCAACCCCATCAGCAGGTTTTCTTACGGGACTCAGATAAGCAAGTGTATTAAGAATAAAGATTTAGTAGCGGGAGAAACGGCTCCGTGGTTAAGAAAGCTTGATGCTCTGGCAGAGGACCCAAGTTTAATTCCCTGCATCCATGTTGGGTGGCTCACAATCAACTGTGACTTCAGCTCCAGAGGCACATAGAATGCCTCTGTCTTCTACAAGCATCTGTACGCACGTGCAAATACTGCCCCGCCCCCATAAATAAATAAAAAAGCAAATAAATAAGGGCTAGGCATGGTTACACACACCTTTAACACCAGCACTTGGGAGGTAGAGGCAAGCAGCACTCTGTGAATTCCAGGGTGAGCCAGAGCTACATAGTGAGACTCTGTCTCAAATAAATAATAAAGATTTAAGAGAAGTAAATGCTACACAAGGTTAAGGGGTATGTGGCACAGCTGCCATAGCTTCCCTGCTAACTACCAGTTATTAGATAACGTGTCTAGTCGCTGTTTACACACTCAGCACTAGTGCGACTATCTCCCGGTGACTTACTTTGTAGACCATGTGAACAGAGCCACTCCCTAGGCACATGGAATTCTTCCATAATATAGAAGTCTCAAAATTAAACCCCAGGAAGATAGGGTGGCACACACCTATAATATCAACAACTTGGGAGACAAGAGACAGAAAGATCTTGACTACATAGTCAGACTGGGCTACACAGAGTGACCCTATCTCAAATACCACACATACACACACATACACACACACACACACACACACACACACACACCAAATCAGACGAAATTCTTTCAACAACCCCTATCTCAAATACCACGCACACACACACACACACACACACACACCAAAATCTGAATCCAAGTATTTCACCATGCACCTCACCATCAAACTTCCTTTCTACTCAACAAAGAGCCCCTACAGTAGAAGAGTCAGAGGACTGGCCGCTGGCTACCTTCATTGTCATCTTTCAAGAATGAGATGGAAAAACAAAAAAGTTTTTTTTTTTTGTAAAATCTGAAAGTATTTCCAAATCCTGCAAATGACACCTTAAAAGACACCAATGGTCATAAAGGAGTTATGATGTTGTGGAGAGCTGATGTTGTGGCTTCCGTGGGATTTTACTTACCTGGAAAGGTGGGTTGTACTGAGTAACTTCCACGGTGACGGTATCTGACATTTGGTTACCATTGTCTTCCACAGTTATCAGCGAGTAATAGATGAGGCAGGGACTGTCTCCCAGGTGCCACGCTGCTGCCAAAACCAGGAGCCCATCACTAGATAAGAGGGGGAAAAGGCAGGCTTCTTGTGTGTGTGTTTTGCTGTTGTTTCACTCTATAGCCCTGGCTGTTGTGGGATTCACAGAGCTCCAAAGGCAGGTGCCACCACACCCTGCAGGCTTCTTGTAAACAGTATGCCAGATTCCTACAAAATTAAATACATCACCATACATGCTAGAGCCCTGCACCTACATAAATACCCAAGGGAGAAAAAAAAAATATTCTCATAATTGCCTTCATGAAAATGTTTACACTGGCTTTGTTACAGTAGCTAACCTGAAACAACCCAATGTCTTCAACTGACGAGTAGATAAATCCTGGTCTCTCTCTCTCTCTCTCTCTCTCTCTCTCTATATATATATATATATATATAGATAGATAGAATATATATATATATATATATTCTCTTGAATATTATTTAGCAATGAAAACAAAGAACTTTCTGAATCAGTTTTACATCCACCACATCAAAGCTGTGTTTACAGTGCACGATTCATTTACACACTATTCTGAAAAAGACAAACTTTGAAGACAGAACAGATCAATGACTTTCAGGGGCACAAAGGAATTTTGGAGGAAGGGTGATCTCTTTCCCTACCTTCTCCCCCAGCCCCTTATTGAGGTTCAAAACCTGCCTATATGTAGATACTGCTCTACCACTGAGCAACACCCCCAGCTCTGTCCTATGTCATGACTATGGTCAAGAGGACTAGACGCTGCCAGGCAGCGGTTGTACATGCCTTTAGTCCCAGAATTTGGGAGGCAGAGGCAGGTGAATGTCTGTGAGTTCGAAGCTAGTCTGGTCTACAGAGTTAGTTAGGATAGCCAAGGTTACACAAAGAAATTCTATCTCAAAACAACAACAAAACAAAAACAAACAACAAAAAAAGATGCCTCTATGCACTTAGCAAGACTCACAGAATTAAAACCAGGCATGGATGGTGGCACACACCTGTAATCCTATTACTTGGGGCATGGTGGCAGGAGGACCTGGAGTTCGAGGCCAGCCTGGGCTACATGAAAGTCTGTCTCAAGCAAGCAAGCAAAACCTCATAACTCCAATACCAAAATGGATCAATATCACAACATGTGAATTATAGCACAACCAACCTGACTATAGACATTTTTTAAAGGATCACCACATGAATCTGGGAATTAGAACAGTCCATTCCTCAGGCAAAGTAGAACCCAGGCCTGGATCTAAGGCTGTGATACGGGCACCCATGTTCACTTAGCACTGCTGAGGTGGTACCCTTGTTACTCTGGGCTGCACAGCCTGAAACAGTCACCTAAAGCACTTCAGAGGTAAGTCACAGGATTGATTAATAGTGTGTTCTTCACAATTTACCTTTGTTCAGAGAAAACAAAAACAAAAACAAAACCACTTTGCTTTCAGTTTGAACTCTCAGTTCTAGAAATCCAAGCTGCTGTGTATGTGAAAACTCATGTTTTGCTTGTAAAAGCTTCTATGTTCTTAACCTATGTTGTTGTGCAACAAAAGAATTTAATGTTCTCTAATACAAATTCTTCCAAGGTAGCACTATGAGCAACTTTCATTCCAGGATCTGAAATCTATGGGGCAGCAAGCACCTCCTCTGGGCAGCCATTTCTAAGCACTGGAACGAGGACCCAGGTGACAGCTCCTCCCTCAGTTCTCCCTCTGCCACTCAGACAACAAAGGAATTCAGGAAGTCTAGCTCAAATGGCAGCACGTCTCAGAGGAGAAAGCCATGGTGGTGTCCTCTCTATACCAAGCAGCTGGCACAGTGGGTCATGCCTATGTCAGGGCTGTAAGAAGGGGTCACTAGCAGCGGTGGTGACTCACGCCTTTAATCCCAGCACATGGGAGGCAGAGATAGGTGGATCTCTGTGAGTTTGAGGCCAGCCTGGTCTACAGAGCGAGTTCCAGGACAGGCACCAAAAGCTACAGAGAAACCCTATCTCCACCCTGCCCCCACAAAAAAAGGAAGAAGGGGTCACTAAAGAGTGTATCACCATGCTACCAAGTGTGGAAACTCATCTAATAGGGTCTTTAAAAAGTAGTCCTAGGTCCATTATTCCTTGACAA